ATATATATATATATATATATATATATATATATATATATATATATCTCGAAATAAAATCTTTTAAAGAGAAAAAAAGAAGTAAAGAGAAATAAGCAACACTTTTGAAAAAATAATATAGTTAATTAAAGAAAAAAAAAAAAAAGAAATAATAATAATTAAATCCCGGTCTATAGACGGTCGCTCTCTGTTTACACTGCATAATATCGTATTCTAGAGGAGGAGAAGGACGTCAAGGAGGCAAAGGAAGAAGAGGATCAGGAGCAGCAGGTGGTGGACGGCGAATAAAAATACGAAAGAAAGAAACGAAATAATGCAAGAGAATAGAGTGAAAGAAAGGATGCGAATCTTTTTCCAATGGATGACGATCTTTCGCGGCGATAAAATAATTTTAGACGATGGTGATATATCGATGATGATAAAAATATGATTAATAATAAAAAAAAAAAAGGTATGGTCGAGTGCGAAGATCATGATTAAAAAAAAAAAAAGGAACCACGATGATATAAAGAATGAATATTTGGCCGAGTACCAACAAGGAGCGAGTCGTTCAATGTTATTCGTGAATGTACGATACTAGGGAAAAATTGTTTTAAATTAAAAATACATAGCGACACGTAAAATAATAAATAATAATATTAATTACCAAGCAAAACACAAAAAAAAAAAATAACAAAAAAGCAAAAAAATAAAAAAGAATATTTACTACGCAATCGAAAATAATATAATAATGATAAAGATACGCAACATATACAACCACATACACACACACACACACAGCTCAAAATTGCAAGGATAAATAAGTAAAGAAATAAATTAATTAAAAAGAAATATGTATAACAGAAAAAGAGTAGTGCTATTTACTACCGTGAGAAACACACAAAACATACAATGCATACACATACATTCAAATAAAAACACGCCTATGAAATAAAGCGCGCTAATTAAAAGACAAGAAGAAAAAATGGAGAACAAAGTTAATATCGACGATTGGAAGATAGGAAAGAAAAGATAGAAAAGGGGTAGTAAACGAGAAAAGGGGTAATGGTTAAAGGGCGAAGTTGAAGAATGAATAAGGCCGATTTTTGATTGGCTATGTTTGTGCGTGCGCGCGTGCGTGTATAAGAAGCGTGACGTCTCTCTGCCGTGTAAAAGTGGAACGGTACGAATGAATGATGTATGTTTGTGTGTGTATATGTGTGTGTGCAAACGATAGAAAGAAAACAAAAAAAGGGGTTGGGGGTGGTTAGGGGAGAAAGAAAGAAATGAAGGGATGAAGGGAGGAAGGAAGGCAAATGTGTCTTCTTCAAGGGAAGAAACAAACATTTTGGTAGCAGCAGCAGTAGCAGCAGCAGGACAGTGCGAAATAATAAGCCTGAAGCATGTACATACATATATATGTATGTAATATATAAATACAAAAGCGCATATATATGAATATGTATATGTATGTATAGGTAACTCTATGATGATTACACCTATGCGGAAAAATAAAAGTAGTAAAGAAAGAAAGAAAAAAAGAAAAGAAAAAATTGATTAAATAAGCAAACAAACAAATAAAACTCTTATTACGATTACTATGTTTAATATTATGGCGACAATTATTATATAATTACCGATGTTCTATAAATATAAATAAACTATAAATAAAAATACTAATTAAAAGAAACACAAACAAAAGAATAAAAAAAGAATAAGAAATAAAATACCGTTCGTTTCGCTCCGTTTAAATTCAACGTAATGAATTATCTGTTTTTAGTTTTACATGATTATTAATTATATAGTCGATATCATACTTGTAGTATATTGCTGAATGTGTTTAAACGAGAATCGATACGCCTTCGTTAATACTAAAGCTCTATATAATATACTATTATTATTATTATTATTATTATTATTGTACATTTTTGTGGTTTATTTAACAATAAAATATTAACAATAATGTTGACAAAGATGCTATTTAATTCGAACTTGATTTTTTCGTTGTCGTTGCTGATTAATACATATACACACAAATGATAATTATTATTATAATATTATTATTAAAACATTCTCTCTTATACAGGTCTTAAATTACAAGTTATTAACCCTTTTATCGTTCATATTTTACTATTTCTACTCCTAATTATTAATCCTTTTGTAGGTCATATTCGATATTTCGTTAATAAAATTTACACTTTTCTTTTTGTGCTTTTCAAATTTTTTATTGGTACAAAATTAATCTTCTAGATGATCATTTTTTAATTCCATTATTCGTTAATCCATCTCACTAATTATTATAATTAGTTGAATTCATTTAATTATATTTATTATTCATTTAAAATTTGGAACCCCCTGAGGTAACCCTGAGGTTGAAAATAATTCATTTCTTTTTGGTTAAATTATGAATTTTTAGTCAAAATTGATGCGCAAAACTTGTCGCAACACCCTTCCGTAAAAAGATGAGAATCGTGTGAGGAGACAGAGTAGAAAATACATTTTCCTAGAAATATATGATAATAATCAGCCAAGCAATACTTTCCTTATCATCGCTCCACTAACAACTTCCTCTTCACCGTCACGAGGTCCGATGCAATTACTGCTACAGAGGTATTGAAGTAATGGTAAACGATACTTTCCACAAAAATCAACGAATTTTACATGTTCAACGCGATTATTGAAAAATACACCTGTACAAAAAAAACAAAAATAAATTTAATATTTTATATTATTGTTTTAAAAAAAAAAACAAATGAAGAAAAATTTTATGCATCTGTGGTTGATTTTGTTCGTGAAAGTGCGCGTGCCCGTGTGTACTGGGTGTACTCGACAGAAAGTGAGAATATAAAATGTATTTCAAGTATTCTTATTAGATAAAATGACATCCTATATATTGTAAATATAACATATTATGATAGTGTATGACGAAATAATCATACAACCTTTGTAATATTGGAAAAATTGAGAAATAATGAATCCCTGACCTTTACACTTAGGGTTCACACAACGGTGTCCACTGTTCAAATATTCCACAAGATTTTTAGGAATGTGTTCTTCGTCGTATTGCATATCGTTCATTTTAATAATTCGTGCGGCCAACTCCAATAAGGAGGGAGGATTGTGCGTCATGTCCGATACGAATCTGACCACAAGAGGATTATCTCTCAGAGAAAGCTAAAAAACGATAAAACGAACACTATACGTAATACATATATACTTATGTATTAATACGAGCTATGCATAAGGTGTTTGCTACTAACAAGATAAGACGAACGATAAGAATACATGATATAATTCAAGTAATGCTAGTTCTACAAAGAATAAGAGCATGTAAACAGGCATACATTAGAAAGAAAGAAAGATAGAAAGAATTAGTATAAGCAGTGTCCCATATGCACACACTTTATACATTTAAAACGAAAAACCTAATTATTTATCTTGCATGGAACACGATATAAGAAGAAAAATAAATATATTAGACTATTCTTTTTATATTAAAAGAAAAGAAATACGAACTAAGACACCCTATATATATATGAATGTACGATAATAATTTAGGTTAGATTTGTATTTAACCTCTGTCAAACATCTCAGCGTGATAATTTCCGTAGGCAACGTTTTCAATCTGTTCTTATGTAGTAGGAGGGATTTAAGATTCGTTAGATTTGCTATTGAACTCGGCAAACTCTCTATCATATTATCGCAGAGTACCAAGGCTTGTAATGATTTTAATTGACCTAATGTCGAGGGAACTTCGGTCAGTCTGTTACCTCCTATTGAAAGTACTTGCAATCTGTCGAAAAAGACAATTAATTATGATGTTATTGTTCATCATATTGCACACATTATCATTACTATTATTTATACTATTTGATTTATTTTGTTTTTCTTATAATAGAAAGCTGTGTATCAGGATACCGTTGTAATTTCCATAGATCCTTGTTGATCCCTGTAATTTGATTTCCACCGAGATAAAGATACTTGAGCTCGTGGAGATCAAGTATTTGTTCAGGAAATTCTCTTAATCTGTTCCCACTTAAATTGAGCTCACGCAGACCGGGTAAATTGTCGAAGCTTTTTGGCAAAGAATCGTTAGTTAAATTATTATTCCTAGCGATTAAACAGGTCAATGGACAATCACCAAGGAAATCCGGAATTCGGTTTAAACCGCTATTTGATATGTCCAATGCATTCAAATTGGTAAATCGACTAATGCTAGGTGGAATAATGTTAATACGATTTTGATGAACCAAAATGGTATCCACATGTTCGGGACTTTTCATCATGACAAAATGTTCGTCCAATATGTAACTGTCAAGCATCAAATATGACAAATCTAAAGTTCTTGAGTTGCCATCTGAATCACTCGAATCCGAAGTATAGTTCTCCATTACAAAAATAAAAGCTTTTATTCGGTTTCTTATTTTCAATTGTCCTCTGCAAAATTACATATACGAAGAAAGAATTACGTAAATTGACTTATTGCATACTGAGGCGAGTCGATAAAGAACGAAAATAAGAATGGATGCATAATGATGACAATGAAGAAAAAGAAAGAGGAGGAGGAGGAGGAGGAAGAGAAGAAGTAGAAGAACGATGATTTCTGATAAGGTCAAACGTACGATATACTTCAAAAGAAAGATCATCGGAAATATTAAATGATTCGACAATCGTATATAAAGCTTCGATTATTATAATTGAAAAAGATAATAGACAGGCCCGGCTCGAAGATATGAAGTACCCTTAGACCAATTTAATTTCCAGCATTGTAATCGGAAAATGAACATCTTGAAATGAACAAAATATATGTTGCAACGCAGTATACAAACGTACTCTACATACCGAAAGATTATTTTTAAATTTAGCGCGACAGAAGGTTCAACGGGATGGAGAGAAAGGGTTGGGTGCATATATAACACTAGTCAATAAAACAAATCACCTGAGAGATGGCGGTCTTTGCTCTCGCTTCTAGAATAGCTTTCACTCGTAACTGTTTACCTTGATATTTCGTGAGTTATTCTTTTTCTCATAGACTTACTCTTATTTTATTCCGTTTGTTAACTTGTCTAATAGTTGTAGTCGGTTTTTTATTCTATCAATTGATACTTGAATCAAAAAATTTGTAGGATAGTTAAAGATAGATGGAACGGTATAGAAAAACACATGATTGTTCAAACAGCAATGACCGAGAACGCACGGATCGGGACTGAACGATAGTTGCCTTTATCAGTTTACTTTATAAGCTCGTTCCGTTCATCGGTATTTATCGACGAGACATACATATATGTACTTACTTACTTACATATAAAACCACCAGCGTCGTTTAAATCTAACATCTTTATCTACAAGTTCGATTACCAGTTTTGTTACCGAAAAGATAACGGATAAATTTTATGGCAAATCTTATTCAAGATATCTATCATTAGTCAGCAGATTTTTATGCAAAAACATATTTCACATATTGCTGCAATCATTTGAAAATTTACAGGGAAGTTTCGACTAAACGTTTCCTACGAACGCGATCGATTTATTAAAGAAAGATTCTTGGAAAATAATTTTATAGTAATCAAATACAATTACTACTGCAAAAGTTTATTTCTACAAAATAATGATATTGAAACAAATTCGGTAATATAATATACATTTTATCGACAATTGATAAGGTTCTATAATCGTATCAATTATCGATAAAATAGTATAATTATATCGACTTTCGATAAAAGTTAAAATACTATCTAAACCAATTTGAAAAAGGCTTAATAGAAAAATAATACTTTTAATAATTAGTTATCTATTTTTTTGAACAATATCTCGCGAGAAACGAACGATAATTTCCGAATTATTTAGAATCGATATAAGTCGAATTTAAACAGCTCGCGCAGCAAATTAAAATAATTTTATGTTTTTAAAATATAATATTACGCGGGCTAATAAATAATTTCTAAACTTTTAACTAAATAATAGGATAGAAAACAATCACCTCAACAAGAGTTAAAGAAGTGTAAAAAAAAAAAATTTAATTATTAATTGCCCTGTTAAATACATGAATTTAATCAACGAGAGGAGGAAACCTATCCTGAACTATAAAAATAGACGATAGAATATACAATTTTCATGAGGAATTCCTTTATCGAAATTACTCATGTGCTCATCAATAAATAATTTAAGCAATTACTATCAGTAGCTCGTGCCGATTAGGATCTTTCTTCCTCGGCATAATTGACCATTGGAGGGATTTCAAATTTTTGTACTCACTCGTTACTAGCTGTTATATCACACATATGTGACATTTTAAAATTAAAATGCCGCATATATGAAATATGAACAATAGCATTAGAAGTTCTGCGATGGCTCCAAAACACTCCTACTTAGCAACTAGTATTGTAAACTAACGATGAGAAAGAAGTCCTTCGTCATATCTCTAAAACAAAATAGAATATAACGATAAGTTATCTGGGATATGATCCAAAATCGTATAAAAAAAAATCGAATACAATATAAATAAAAATGAATACTTACAATGCATTCTAATGGGATGCAGCTCAGTGGCACCATGGTGATGCATCTCGCGTGAATCTAATAACGCGTTATTAACGAGAATAAGAAACTATAGATGAGTTTCTTATCGCGAAACCGAAATTTTATTAAACGGCGAACAACACTGACTCTAATTCGCGTTCGATTTTAAATTGTTTTGTACCCGATCACTGACTCTAAAGCGAACTCAAAGACTGCTTTGCTCACAGTCAATTGAAACAAACAAATTTCACACTAAAAAAAGTAGTAAACTCTGCATTCTTTTAATAATTAAGTAATATTTCTAACTAGAAGTAATATCTAACTTGTAAAAAAGAAAAATTCTTGACGAAATCCTTATTATTCTATTTTTATCTTTGGTAAATATCTATAGAAATATTTGAATTTATATATTTATTATAAAATTTTAAATAATTGTATTTAATTTTTAGTGTGAAAAATGTGTGTGCCTTCAAAAATGCATTTATACATATATTTCAAAAAGTATACATTTAAAGCATTCAAATAGAACAAATCTCAAAGATTTGTTGTAAAATCCAACGATGATCACCTGTAACAAAAAGAAAACTATATTAGTCATACAGTCAAAAAAGTGATACAACTGCCTGACATTAATCGTCCAATTCACAGATGCACTTTTCAACTGAATTCTCTATTTATTTTAATCAAATCTCTATTTACCGTTGCAATAAAATAAAATTTAAACGCGTGATTTTACATTTACATAAAATATATATAAAAATAAAGAAATAGGAAAAGTACAAATATTAAGTGACTACAAAAAATAATATCTATTAATTATTACGAAATACTTTTTTAAATTGCATTATATAGAACAGAAAAATTAAAAATTTAATAAAATACAATCATAGAGAAAAATCTCAAAAACAAAATAAGAAAAGAGAAATTATTGTAATTTTTACCGATCGTTATTTAAGCTTGAAAATTTAATATTACGAAAATTTTAATACTTTTGACTCTAACTAAACACTTATGCATCTTATGACGATATAGACACGACTTTGGTGTCCCAAGGAGATGGAATAGTCCATCATCTCCAATTACAACTACAAATTAGTGACGAGCAAAAAAGTAACACAATAAAATATGAAATGTGACTAGAGAGCTATTCTCAAAAAGTTCGAACTTGCTGTCGAACCTTTGAAAATAACTCTATAGCAAGTAGTTGGCCACTTGATACCACAAATTTGTGGGGGCCTCTTCGGCATTAGCCTCTTCGGCATTTAGCCTCTTCTTTCTTCATTCCTGAAAACTGCAATTGGACATTTTCTACGCGCGAGCGAGATAAGATATCTCATATTTTTTTTGCAAATTAACTCGTATTTTGTTTGAAAATTCTAATTCTCAATTAATAAAAAATTAATTTACATTTTCCGTTAATTATTAAAGCCTGTGAACCATCAATGAACTTAGAGTTCATTGACCATACACATATGCASGAACACAATTAATCGAATGTCCAAGCAGATAATTATAATCGATGACCTAAAAACACATCGCACTTTTTATGTCAAGCAATAAAATGAAATAGAAATAAATAATGCAATAAATGTAAGGCATTCTATTGCAATATTTTCATTTCATTCATTCCTTACATATTAAAATATATATAAAATATTTCTAATTATAAGAGAAAATCACGATTGTGCGAAGTGTTAGTTATAATACTTAAAACTAAGTATCAAATTCATCAAAGAATTTGCGAATTTGATTTCGACTCTATCTCGTTCAAGATAGAATCGAAATAGAAATGAATCTTACAAAACGTTGCAAATCCCTTTGAATCATGATACATCATAAGAATTACAGAAGAATCACAAAATGAAATTACAAAGCAAGCGTAAAAGAATGAAATGAAATAATTTTGTGACAATTCTGTATAAACCAGGAGGCGGAATTTCCACTCCGGAGTGGAAGCAAGCCTAGTGCCTTTCCTGGATCCTACCTACTTAAAATTAAAGTTTTCACATTCGCTCAGAAAAGGATGCTACCTGCCTGCCAATTACCCTTATTTAAAATGAACAAACATACTTGCATACCCACCCACACACTCCACGATTCTCTCACATACCACCAGGGTGCAAAATCCTAAACTAGAGAGCATGCCCCGGGGCACCTCCGACACCCTAGTTCAAACGCGTGTTTTCTAATTTTATGGGTATACGTACTTTTTGCTGTAATCGTCTGCCAAGGCTAGTGATTATTGCAATAATAACTAAAGCAAAAATACTGGTATATACTAGTATATATGCATACTAATATAATACAAGTATTGTAAAATCTCCACAAATAAATGTGGGAACTCTACTATTCAAAACGATTTTATATATTACAAAAAAAAAAAATAGAAAAATTAATAATATAAATATAAAAATACAAATATTCGTATTTTTCATACAATAAATGATTCTACAAGTAGTACTCCAAGTGTTGAATGATGCAATAATTAAAAACTATCGCGAAACGATGTACAAAACACTACCTAATACGCACACACAGGTGTAAAGTACATCGTGCAACCACTAGCACAATAACAGCCGCCAATAGGGGAAAAACTTAAAACTAAACCCACACTAACTGTTTCTCACCCATACGTGTAACACCTGGGCACACGCATAGATGAAAACGCAGAAAGTATGGGGAGGAGAAACGGGAGATTAGTGTATTAGAAGCTGAAAATCCTGATCTAAAAAAATGTGATTAAATACACATAAATACATAATACATAAATATACAATTTTATAAAAATTCATCTAAGCGGCTAAGGACTCTACAATTTATTTCATAAATAATATATAACTTTAAAGTCTTTAAATATCTTTTTTAATATCTT